GAAGAGAAATTCTTGCAATTAGAAAAGCCACTACCTTTCAAATTGAAAACCTTTTCCCGACTGCGATATTTTAAGTTTAGAAATGAAAAGGCAGATGTTATTTATGTCTGGATAAAAGGTACAGAGTTAAAAACTGCAAGCAAAAAAGTAAAATTAGCTTCTATAATTAACAAAACATTCGAAAGTGAATTGTTGGGCATTAAAATAACACAAACAAGAACTAATTATCATACTTATTCAAAAAAGGTACAAAGAGCAAATTCTATATAGACTAAATAAAAATAATATTCACAGGAAAAGTGCACAGCAAAAATGGATGAGAAAAAAATACACATGTAAGAATAAATTTTCAAACTGATACATATTCAAAAGAACTGCATGACGAACAGCAACAACGAACTAGCTACACACAGAAATGACATTTTTCTTGAATCATTAAATTTGGCACATAATCAGATAAAATAAAAATTTTCACACGTAAAAAGCAGAATTTTACCCTAGAATATAATAAAAAATTCAGTAATTAAGATCAGAAAATCTTTTACCAATCTTTTAGGTCAAGAACTTACCCGCATTAGTTTTAATGAATGTTCTCAACAAATCGCATCTCAATCTGTCAAATAAACTGTGTTAATATGCAAAACAAGATTAAATAATACAAACAAGAATTGACATATTTATTCAAAAGAGGCATAAAGAAGAACAATTTTTACGCAAACTAAGTAAAAACAGGCACATTTACTTGAAATTTTCTCAAAAATTTACCAGCAAAACTTGATGAATCTCTACATGAGCTAAAGAAATACCACATTCAACTTGAAATGAGTTCAGTCAGAAATTTACCAGCCTAATAAAAAGAGACATGGAGGGGAAAAAAAAAAAGAAAAGACAAGAATTTTTATATCTACTAAAAAAAAAAGCAGAATGAACAGCAGCTGCATTAATCTGCAAAATAAACTGCATTAATCTGCAAAACAACACATTAAAATAATACTACTAATAAACACATTGGCTCAAAAAAGGCATAACGAAGAGCCACTTCGGCTAAATCGCAGAATAGGCTGCATCAAGGAGCCTCCTTGGGCTGCATCAGTCGATGCTGTGTTTACTTCTCTTACGCGTGGACACGCCTTTTTATGACGTAATATTGGTTACGCCTCTTCTTAAAAACAAGTATGCTTCTTAAAAACAAGTATACTGTAGTATTTGAAGAAAACTTAAATTATATTTTAACTGAGTTGAAATGGTAGGTTTATAATGTTCTGCCCCGAGAGTTTTTTTTTAATTATAAATCTGCTTTTGTATGTTGTATGGTAGTGTTAGCATTTAATGCAACGAATTCTTCTCACAAATGTATTATTAAGATACCAAACGATTGAAAACGATCATTACCAAACGATTGAAAATACTGAATGCATGAGTTAAAAATTATAACCGTAACTTCTGAAAATTACAGAAAAGAATTCTTTTGCTTAAAGAATGTTTTAGTTATTGATGAGTGTGTCAAAATCGGTGCTTACTGCAGAATGGATGGGTATCTGAATCTGGATTTTTTTTAATCAGATGGAGCAAAGAGGCAAAAAGAGCGTTATTGAGTGGTGTATATATGGAGAAAAGTTTGATTGCAATATCGTATAAGTGCCCAATTTGTCGAACAAATATGAAACTAGTAGAGAGACGGTTTTGAGACGTATAGACGACTTTGAGTGGTGCGCAATGCCGAGTTCTGGGATTTTTTTAAGTGAAAATAGATCGATGTGCACATGGGCAAAGCCAATGTGGTGCGCAATGCCGAGTTTGTGCAATTCTGGGATGTTTTTTTAAATGAAAATAGATCGACGTACACATGGGCAAAGCCAATGTGGTGCACAATGCCGAGGTTGTGCGCGATGCCGACTGAGTGCAATTCTGGGATGTTTTTTTTAAGTTGATCCATGTGCACATGGGCAAAGCCAATGTGGTGCGCAATGCCAAGTTTGTGCAATTCTGGGATATTTTAAGTGAAAATAGATCGATGTGCACATGGGCAGAGCACTACAGACCAAGCTTCCGGACAGAGGTACAACCAATCGGAATAGTGCCTGACCTGTAGAAATTATCTACTATCTACTTCCGCCACTGCCAGGGCGAGCCCCGCAAACCAGCGGCATTTATTGAGTCTAAGTCTAGTCAGAAGTTACCGATTCACAGTAATGGTTGTTACAATGGCACCTTTGCAGACGTTGTCTGCTACATGAAAAGATGTAAGTGCTGTACTGAGCTGAGTATTATTCATACGCGCGTGTAATTACAATTGCTCTGATTGTGTAATGTTCCATCGGCAGTAATGGGTTAAGAGCACTGCATGAAATTTAGTACATTGAGTTAGTAAGGTGTCCGGACTTCACTACAAATCGTTATTGGTGAACTTGGCTTAATCTATGCTGCGTATCTGTCCGTGTCACATACTAAAGACATACTGTACATACATACATAGCATGATGATACATACATAGCATGAAGATTATACATAGCACTAAAAATTACACATAGCATTAAAATTATTACTGTATTGCTCAATGAACTTAGAACAATGAACAAATTATATAACTTACTATCCGTACAAATATTGATCTCATTAGCAGCTGTGCACACAGAATATTATAAACATTAAATAAGTCCTAGCAGCCACACGTTATTTACATATTACATAATATATGCGTTTCATAATATGCGCTTACATAATATATAGAATTATTAGATAAATAATTAAATACTCGAATGCAGAACATTGCAAATTTGAATAGGTAAGTAAATGAATGATACTGAGATACATTAATAACGATTAATAGTGAGTAACTAAAGAATAGTATTTAATACTAAAGCTCATAAGTGCATAACAAAGTTCGCAAATAGTACTATAAGTTTCAAAATTTCTTAATTTAATGCAAAACATACAGCTGTGTTTCAGGAAATTTGTGCGGAAATCGAAATGATGCAACTATCTTATAACTATTAATACTAAGTAAGCGCATGATAAATTCTAGATTAGATATGCTTGCTTAGTAGGTTATACGATTTGCAATAAGGCATAATTACATAGCAGTAAAATAATAAAGAATATAGCGAAATGAGTATAGGGAAGTAATTTGCTGACATGACTTAGTGCGCATTTTGATTACATGACACTTCTTGGTAATATGCAATAAAAACATAAAAGATAAAAATGATAACATACTGAGATGAATGAGTACTAAGAATGAAGTTCAGAGTACAGTAAGCAAAGCACAGAATACCATGGTACAGTGATTAACTCTTTCGCGTCGAAGTCCCCCCACCCCCCAAACGCCCAAACATTCAGATAACGGCTGGACGCCCGAAACCCCTGAATAATTTCCTACCCAGGGCTTTCCCCCATCACGTTACTGCATTAATCTTGCTTTCAGGTTATGTTAAATCACATGTCAATCATTCTTTTGAAGCTACTAAAAGTAGCTTCGTTGTTTCCTTTGTTCCTTCCTTTCCTTTGTTTACTGTCAGTGTTTAGCTTTTGACATCCGAAGTTGCAATCCCGTCCTAAGGGAGAACTTCACACAGTTGTTGTCAAAGTGTTGAAGAAAGTTCTCGCTTTACTTAAGTAAGGCTATTGTTAGCGCTGTAGTATTTAACTTGTCATGGGGGAAGAAAAAGCATTCCAGGAGAAATTCTTAGATACGGGCGTTTTCGATGTTTGGGGAATTGAGATTTTGCCCTCTCTCGATGCGAAAGAGTTAAACAAGCATGAAATTTTGTACAACTGGCAACACATATTATTGATACGCATACAGGATCTTGCTTACATTACTTATGGCAATGTTTAAATATACATAATATAATACATTAAGATAATTTGCTTATGAAACATACTTATGAGAGTGTCAGTTTATTACTTAATGCTGATGGGTGTCCACTTGCATATATATAAGTTGGATTATGTATTTACTGCATCCAATTTAAGTGGAAGGCATAAGATTACGATTATAATGATTAAATTAATATATTAGACAGGTTAAGGTGTTGACAACATATACTGTAGTTACAACATTCAGATTAAAATGAAAGCATATGATATCAATTATAAGAATTGAGTTAATACTATAAACACATCAAGGATGATTATTACAGTCAAGTAAAAGTTACATAAAGTGTAGTATTTAAGGTAATACGTTAAATGCATCTAACGAATAGGATAAGAGTATGATGAAAATAATATGGACATAACAGTATTACTTATATTACATAACAGTATTACTTATTACAGTATTACTTTAGTAAACAGATATTACTTATCTGGTAGCAGGGTTATGCGCTGGTAGGTATTAGGTGACAAATGAAAAGTGCACCCTGCAGAACTTGATGATCTTGTGAAGCTTAAAGCACGCACCCCTCCGTTCTAGTAACACTTTTGTCCATTCCCTCCAATATCTGTCTGAAGGAGGACGCATGTGGTGTGCCTCTGTCATTCTGCATGTAAATGCATAATGGTCTGTTTTTAGACTAGAAGAGAAACACGCTAATGTGACAATCAAAATCGTAAAAAACAACCTTATATTAGCGTAGGTAGGTATATACCTACGCTAAATATAAGGTTGTTTTTTACGATTTTGATGGTCTGTTTTTACTTAAAAACATTCTAGAATTGCACAAACTAGGCATTGCGCACTGCCTTAAATATGTCCATGTACACATCAATCTATTTTCATTTAAATAAAATCGGGAAGCTAAAAGAAAGTTAAAACTGTCGTGGTAACCAGAAGTGAGGTTTCATCGCTAAAATTTTTAAAAACATGTCGCCAATCGAAGGGGCAACCAATTCTACACTAAAGCCTTAAAAATTTATGGTAAAATTTTAGCATACTTACGGATCAAAAACAGACCACTCTTCAACCACAGTTCCAGAAATAAGAATGAGCCGATGACGCCAAATTACTTGGCGAGAAAGTTATTAGTAGGTCTTCATGCAACCCAGAGAATCTCGTAGCTCCTCTCATTTTCCCCCCTTTTTTCTCGTGAAGATAACCTGTGAACAACGAATTCCTATAGTTTATGCGGCTGTTCGATTAAATAGTCGTACTGCCCTATGGTTTTAACAACTTCGTGAGTGGAGGAATCACATTTTTCGTAGAGTTTTGAATGGTATCTTTAGTAATTCGTCATCTAACGGCCGCTAGATGGCACGTCAGAGCAATGGAATTGGAAATCCACCACTGCTGTTATCCATGTAAATAAAGGATGAATCTCGTAGAGCTCTAAAAAATTTATTCTATACTGTTGGAGAAAAATTTCTTTTAGTGTCAAAAATTATATAATTAATATTATGAATTAATAGCACTTTTTAGCACTGAATTAGTATTCCAGAAAAGTTGACGATAATGTTTTAAATCCGTATAACATGCCGGTTGAAGTAATGAATCAGCAGTTTTTGTGGTAAATTAATATGGAATTTGTGCTTTCCGTAGCAGAATATGTCGTTGCGTACAGTGAAATAATGGAAGTACCACAGTAAGTACTCGCAGTTGTGGAAGTATCACTTTTAAATTAGAAACTTCTTCAAACTGTTAAGCACTGGCTAGCAACCCCAGAACAATATAAACTTCTATGCGCTCGTTATTTTGCATATATGCATATTGCATATATGACATAAATGTCGAACATGTATGTATATGTGGCAAGAAATTTGATGTCTGAATTGTAACAAATTAATGCTTAATGAAGTGTTCCTAAAAATCAGGAGATGCTTATATCACATATTAAGTTAGGTTTCATGCATAATGTGTATTAACATTTTCACAATCTTTTGTACTAAAGCAAGACACTGAAATCTACTGTGAAACATCCAGCACTACTTTTGATAAATATTTCTGTTCTGCAACCTGTATTACATCACTCCAAAATATAAACATCATCATCAGATATCTAACAAATTATAAAATAGTGCAGAAATTTCTTGTGCTAGGAGTTAAATAACAAATCATTTGGAGGAAGTAATATTCTAAAAGAGCATATGCATACCAGTACAGAAGACAAACCTTATGTGTGTAAGGTTTGTAACAACTCATTTACCCGAAAGGGTTATTTAAGTGATCATTTGCTTATTCATATGGGAAAGAAACCTCATGTATGTGAAATATGCAAGAAATCGTTTAGTCAAAAGACTAGTTTAAACATACATATGCTTATTCATACAGGAGAGAAACCTCATGTGTGTGAGGTATGTAATAAGTCATTTAGACAAAAGGATAATTTAAACAACCATATGCATACTCACACAGGGGAAAAACCTCACACCTGTGAAGTATGTAACAAGTCATTTAGTCAAAAGAGTAGTTTAAATGAGCATATGCTTATTCATACAGGAGAAAAACCTCATGTTTGTGATATATGTAACAGTGCATTTAGTGTAAAGCGCTCTTTAAATGAACATATCCTTATTCACACAGGAGAGAAACCTCATATGTGTGAAGTATGTAAAAAGTCATTTAGTCAAAAGAGTCATTTAAGTAACCATATGCATATGCATACGGGAGAGAAACCTCATGTATGTAAAGTATGTAAAAAGGCATTTAGTCAAAAGGGTCATTTGAACAATCATATGTTTATTCACTCAGGTGAGAAACCTTATGTCTGTGAGATATGCCCAAAGTCATATGTACAAAAGTGTGCTTTAAGCAGGCATACACTTACACACACTACACAGAAATCTTACCTATGTCAATTATGTAACAAATCATTTAGACAAAAGTGTGATTTAAGTGAGCATATGCTTAATCATACATTGGGGAAATCTCATGTGTGAAGTATGTAAAAAGTCATTTAGTCAAAAGAGTAGTTTAAGCAATCATATGAGTATTCACAGAGGAGAAAAACTTCATGTTTGTAAATTATGTAACATTACATTTACTGTAAAGAGTAGTTTAAATGAGCATATGCTCATTCACACAGGACAGAAACCTCATTTGTGTAAAGTATGTAATAAGTCATTTAGACAAAAGGGAGTTTTAAATAAGCACATGCAAATTCATACAGGAGAGAAACCTCATGTGTGTGAAGTATGCGGGAAATCATCTCGTCAAAAGAGTAGTTTAATCAAACATATGCTTATTCACACTGGAGAGAAATCTCATGTGTGTAAGGTATGTAACAAGTCATTTAGACAAAAAAATCACTTAAATAAGCATATGCGTATTCACCTAGAAAGGTAACTTAGTATCTAAAATTTATTTATGCTAAAATGTGGTTTAAATGACTATATGTGTATCCGCATAAGGTAGAGATTTCATGATCTATGTATGTAACATATCACTGGGTCAAAAGAATTTGAAGACATGTTTAATTATGCACATGAGATGTCTAATGTCGGTAAAATCCTAGTATATGGTGCAGCCTTGGCGTGACTTTGAAAATTATCGCCAACACCAAAAATGATCCAAAAGAACGTCTATATATATACTATACACACATAGTATATGTATATACACACATAGTATATATACTGTATACATAGTATATACTATGTTTAACTGTATATTTTCTTTGAATGAGCGGTTAACTACTCATCGTATATGTCCCGCTTTTACTGCTCATCATAAAGTAGCCAAATCGTGTGTGCACCGGATGCTAGGATTAAACCCTAATGTCTTTTGAGGATAAGTTACATTCATAAGAACTTAACACAGCAATTAAAAATTTCTGTCTGTAACTAAGAAGCCTTATTATGTGGGGTATGTAATTTGTCATTTGATCAGAAGGCATAGCTTTAGTATTAGTCGTTTTTGGTGATGTTTGGTTGCAATAAATGAAAATTTATGGTAACCCTAAATACTAAGCTGAAACATATGCTGAACATATGGACATTTTTGTAGACCTAATTTTAACGAATTTGGTAGATAGCAGAGCTTTGATAGGTGGGAGGGATGATCTGCAAGTTTTTCTTAAAGTTACAATTACAAAGTCTTAAAGTTACAAGGAAAGCACGACTTCTAAAATATTTTTCAGAAAGCCAAAATTTGATAGTTAAAACTGATGCTTTTGATATTACATCACATGATTCTTGACATTTTTTAAATGTCAACTCTGCATATTATAACCCCCTCCAAAAAAAAAAAAAAAAAAAAAAAAACAGATTTTTAGTAGCATGAGGTAAACTCATAGTGTTTCCTTTGCTAAGGAACCACATGCAAATTTAAACTACTTGCATGTTTCTTAAAATGAGCAATGATCAAAATTACCATGGTCTAAAAATGCTTTTGCCTCATTTCTTAAATTAGAACTATAGGGATGTGTAATTGCATGAATTCATAGACCAAAATCAGGTTTCATTATTGCTCTTAGAACATTTTTGTAATTTGTCTGACTATAAAAAATACAATGTTGCTTAGATTAAGGAATATATTGCTTATAATTTACTGTTGTCAAAATTTGTAAATCTTGCAATATGTATATGAATAACGTACACTGAGTATCATTACTTTTATAAATAGTATGTTGACATAACTGTCGACTTTTTATTTTAAGTTTTAGGCAAATTTTCTACGTTACTTAAAAAATTTAATTGAACAGAAATCTGAATTTTTTAAAATAAAAACTAGAATAAAATTAAGAGTAAAATTTATATATAAAAATATGAGTACATGGCAAGCACTTAAATACTGATTTCAATGTCTTTAAATGTAATTACAGTACCAAAGTCCATAATGCGGACTCATAGGGACTTCGGCGATTCCAGTTTAGGGTTTTTCCGCATTATGGATCATCAATTTAAATCTGGTGAGATGGCATGCCGAAATTATACTATTAAAAATATGAAACCATAATTTATGAAATAAAAGGCAATTATGATCTAAAGGGTATCAAATTTTACAAAAAAAAAAAAAGCTTAACATTTATTTGTTTACTTCATTAAACATTTCTTTCAACGCGCGTATAATGTATGTGCATTCTTTATGTGCATGTGCAATGTATACGCATTTTCTATGCACATGAGTAAAGTCCGTGGCTTTGATGTCCGGATTATAGATCATTCCTGATAATGGACGTCCAGATTACGGACTTTGTTACTGTATTATAAAGTTTAGATATATTCTTATAAAGTTAAGATATACTCTTATTCTATTATAAAGTTTAATGTACAGAACAGAAGGCACACATTGTGCTTATGATTCGGTCAACTGCTTGTGGTGAGATAATTATTATCAATTAAATTCAAATAAACTAGCAACCAAAGGCTACACAAATCAATTTAATGTGAAGTTGGCTCAGAATTTAACCAGCAATGAATTCAACTGTCGGCAATTATACTGCAAGACTGAAGACTACAAATCTTATCTAGCATCCCAGTAACGTGGCCTCAAAAGGCAAAACGCGGTTTGTTTTACAAACTAAAAACTTCATTTGAATTCTGGTGAGAAAACGGATGGGGAAATTGACAGTAAAAATCCCAAACAGAAATTAACTCGGGTTACAAAATAAAGGAATGTTGCATTATACTTTGTTTCCTGATTAATTATTCACTGCATGAAATAGTGTAATGCATTTTTGTTTGCATCATATACAAATTATTTATATTATTTAGATGTCGTCCAAAACTGAACAGGATTTTGCAAACATATTGACCATATTTTTCGACCTATAGATGCACCACTTCTTCACTACAGAAATAAGATTTAGAATTAAGAAAATAAGAAGAGAGAACAGTATGAATAGAAAATAAATACATACGCAGGCTAGCAGAAGAAGGATGCTTTCATAAAGGACTTTTTAAGAGAAACTGGCTCAGATTTCCATTACGTGTAAGGAAAACCACAAAAGCTCTCATATAGCCAGCCTGAACTACCAGTGTTCAGCGGCTTATCACTCCATCACTAGTGGATTCCAATAACTGTTTGAATCTTTCACAGAAATCATCAGTTATGATAATTGTTGTTGTGTATTATAACCATTGGTACAAAATTTACTCGTTATGATAATTTAATTTTAGCTTTTAAATTATAATCACAAAGTACTTGTAATAAATTGAGTGATTAAAAAATACACACTTTCTTAATATTTTTACCATTTATAAAATTTAATTCATAAAAAGTATTTCTAACACTTCTATAAAATTTACTCATTATAATTTAATTTGATTTTGTTCAATTTGAAATATTTTTTTATTTCCTTTTAATAACGGAATCTAAGAAACTAAAGTAACATATACTAGTTTGAAATGCACTTATTAACCTTTTGTAAATTTCATTATCCATAACATAAAAATTAAACTTTTGTAAATTTAAAATATTAACTAAATACTAATATAATATAAATATTAACTAACTACTTAAAATATTAATATTTACTTAATACATTAATTTTGTAATTAAAAATATTAAACTTTTGTAAATTTCATTACTCATAACATAATCACTGCCATAAATTCATTTTTGGCAGTGTTTCAAGAATTCATAATAGCGCTACTAGAAATGTTGAAAATTAGAGAAAGACTCTTTTTTGCAATTTGTCTAAAATTAGAAAAAGATGCTTATTCTAATCAAGAGCTTATTTTTTAGGATTGTTATTTAGTCTAGATCGGGCTTTGTTTACAATCTGCCATTTTTCTTCCGACCTTCAAAGCTGGGTCTACCTTCGCAACATAAGTTTGTTGCCAAATCAAAAAATCCCTAAAAGAACCAATACTAAACCTGTTCTAATTGCACAATAAGTTTTAAAAATGCTGTTCATTTGGAGGATAACATGATTAAATAACTTTAGGGGTTTTGTTTATTTTGTTTGGTATTTTAATGTCTTAACATTAAAAGTTTTCAAGTTGCTACTTATAGAAACTTAAAAATTAGAGGGGGGCAAAATCAATAAATTTTGTATTTGGCATTATTAATAAAGACTGTCAACTGCGTTTTGATTAAAATCTGCAGCATAGTTAAGGTTGTTTTTTACATCTGTGTGTTTCTCTTCTGTCTTGTCATGCACATGAGTTTGTCTCACATATAATTCAGTTTTCATTGTTTCATTCTTCTAAATTCATAATGTTCTAGAAAGGTAACTGAAAATACGACTAATTCAGTGTACTGTATAACTTCTTATGTGTGAACTAAAATGGTACAATCTAGAAATTTATTAAAATAGCATTAATCTCTGTTAATATTATTAATGGTAAAATACTTTTCTTTACTGAATGAGACAAATAGAAATAATTATATTATATATTTAATTTCATTTTTTGTAAGCAGTTTTCATGGTCATTTGCTGTAAATACTATGTTTTATTTTGCTATAAGCTTTTCAGAAAAAGTAATTTTATCTTTAATTCTCAAAATAATGCATATGAATGAGTATGCAAACTCATATGTGTAGAGTTATCCATGTATAAATATGTGTAAATATGGCTAAAGTAGAACAAAGGCAAACATGTTATCTGAATGCAATAGGCACAAAACTTTTATGTATCTAAATAAAGTAGTTACAAGTTCATTTAATTACTGTTGCATGCAAGGTAATATTAACTGCACAAATAAAAATTCCTGATATATAATACACATATTGTTACTTTTTTAGAAACAGCTGTAAAAATCACTAAACTAATATTGTGTATATAAGATCTTTGTACATATAAAATACTGTCTCTACTCTTATATGTGCCCTCAGGTTGCCAAATGCGGTGATATGTGTAGTGCAGTGGTTTTTGGTGTGATTGTGTGTTCTGCGATGGTTTTTGGGGCTAATGTTGGTTTCTATGGCAACCCTTTTTAGGTGGAAACTTTGATTGGTTTCAGTTGCTAGTTGGTTCTGTGGTGTGTGGTTTTAAATGATGCAATGAAAGACGTTGGCAAAATTTTATTCACGTGCCTGGTACAACTATTTTTTCGGTTGGCTAGAAATTCTACAAGTATTTAGGAGAAGACGGTTTTGAAGATTTATTTTTAAAACATATTATCAATTTTGTGGATAGTGAGTCTGGTTGTCATGTAAATACGACAGAGATTACGTAGCGGCATGTTAAAGCTACGTTGCCTATTTATATTCGAAAAAGCATTTTTGAGTTTTATTTGGTGATTTATATATTTTTCCATCATTGTTCTGAAATGGAAGAAGGTGCTTTTAACAAATTGGTGGTGAAATTGTTTTCGTGACGTTTGAAATTCGTATTTCTGCTGTTAGAAAAAACATTAATTCATGGTAAGTGCATTTTATTTATTCTTGTTTTTATTTTGTAGAATGTTAGGTTCATTGTTTTTTTTAGTATGAATTTCTGTTGTTATTGTTCGTTTTTAATTGTTTGAAATTAGTTTTTTTTAATTATTTTAGTTTATTTTGTTGATTAGTGCACAATGCCTTTAAAGTTTGAACAGAACGCTGTGTATATGGTATTCTTTGAAATTTATTGAATTTATTTAAGTTAGGTGTGCGTAGTTCATAAATTCCTTTGCTACATAGATTGTGCAATTCTGTTTTTTTTTTTTTTTTTTTTTTTTTTTTTTTTTTTTTTTTTT